ATTAAATAGAAGAAAATACAAAACATTAAACATATTAACAACACAAAAGCCATATTAAACGCAGACTACTTTAGGCCAGGAAGTAGGATTCGTCGCGTCATCACTTAACGACCGGATTGCTATGCTTGATGACTGAGTTCATTTCCTGTTTTATTTTGGTAATGAGTTTCCCCTGCGTTTGGCTGTTTTCGCCTGCACCCAATCACATTTTTGTATGTAGGTAGTGTTGTCTCTGTCAGCTGGCGGTCTGGCATTTTGCCCTTGTGTTCTTTCTGTGGCTATCTCTGGTGTCTTTGTATTGTTTTGTTCCTGGACTTAATAAGTGATTCTTATCTTTCATTCAAATATTCATTTTGTTTGCTACACTCATGAACTTTATATTTGGGTCCATACTTGCTAACATCCAACATCTAATGTATTTGAAATCACATACATTGTGTTATAGGCCCACGGTAATGGGAATATATCAAGAACTTGTGCTAATGGTTGGTGACAAGAAGCAGGGCTTTCACTTTTTTAATAAGTAAAATCGAATTTGTATTACACCTTTCAAGATAAACATGACAAAGTGCTTCCCCCAAGAATGCTACAGCATAAAAACAAAACTTAACCAAAACAAAAATGCACATAATTTATTACTATTGTGATTGCAACGAAGCACTTTTAAAGTGTAAAACATTACACAAAGGCTCTCTGCTGTCATGCTCTCTTCCTCTCTACGCTCTCCTTCCTACTGTATACAGTACAGATTTATTAGCTAGAGCCGGGGCCCCCGGACAGTCACCACTCAGCACTCCCTCAGATCAATAATTGGAAATATTAATTATATCAGCTGAGACGGCCCAGTCGGAAGGGGGCTGTTTATGCTCCTGTTACTGAGCAGTGCAGCACTATGAGCTCTGATGGCCCACTAATGCGTATTAATGATCCCAGAACAAACATTACTCTATATTAAACTGGAACGAAAGCCAGAAGACATCACACATATTATATGGCTGTTAGAGTTATTTTATTGCAGCCCTGTAAGTAAGAGCTGTTGGATAACTGTTTCTAAAGGACTGCTTCTACTGAGGAATTGGCTTTTTAAAAAACAAGACGGGATTTACTGCAGTTTTATTTCTGTTTACTGTTCATCTTTACGTGTATCTCTTTTCATAAATATGAAAGTTCAAAATTTGCACTTGGAATCGCACCAGGTCTTGCGTTATTGTCTCTCCACTGGCCGTCTCTGGGGTTTCACCATTTAAAGAATGGGACTTTGTACTGCTCAATCCTGCTAAACTCTAGTTATGAACTTCCTCCTGTCACAGATAGTGCCAGCAGTAGACTTGAAATCCACCACACCTGGCTGACAAAATCTCAACTACACATCCTTTGACTTTTGTGGTGAAATATAAAATCAGACACTCGAATGGCTCGATCCCAGAGGTGGTTAGGGATTGCTTAAACAGAAACCACACCTGTGTTAGGTGCCATTTTACCAGGTTAAAAAAGTGTGATATGGTACTTGGATATGTGTATCACTTTGTAACAGTATATGTAAAGAGATAGCTGACCATCAGTCTTGTAGACTAATGAACAGAGACAAACCAGCTGGCTGAGTGTGTATATTCCAGGCATAGTGCACACTACATTATGTTCTGCAAGCCCCGGGGTTTCCATCTGACCCTTCTCATAAAACAGCAACATACTAGTGTTAAAAGCTTTAATTCAACTGACTGCGGGCTTAACTGGGCAAATGAGGCGGTTCAATGAAAGCATATAGATTTGTCAAAGCCCTTAGAGCAACACAGTGTGTGGAATGGGAAATGGAGAAAGACCAGGGCGCTTACTGGGAAAACCAGAAACTCTTTTCGCTCGAGGTGGAATTCAAAGAATGTTAGCTAGTTTGAAGATCGTGAAGCAACTGATTGAAGCTTATTTATTGGCTTCAGTCAAACACGATCAGTTTACTTTCACAATCTCCTTGTAATAACCTTTAAGATTCAGAATAAGTAATGTAAAGAAAGAAGAGAGTCCCCATCTTTTCTTCCACACAGTTTAAAAAACATGTTTAGGACAGAAGGCACATGCATCAAACTTTTATTTTACCGCAAATGTATTTTTACATAATGATGAAATTAGTATAACAACGATTCTGTGGGAGATACAAAACCAATTAAATAAATCAAAATCTTGATTAATGCAGTATGTGGTTGGTTCCCCTTGTAGATCCGGTGATGCAAATAATAATGAACAAATTTAGAAAAAAAATGAATACAAGAGACAAATTATTTGTGCTCCACAATATCAGACATATAGATATAGCGAGTTTCTCTCCCAGTATTTATTCACATTCAAAATGCATTTTCATCGTTTTGCCAATTATAATTGATGTCCCACAAATATGCAAACAGTACATTTGAGCAGAGGGTAGCCTAGGGAGGCAGGTGGTTAATTTGTGCTGTAAATATACAGTGTTTGTATAATGCAGGTGCTTTTTTTTTACCTCTTTGTTTTGTCTTTTTGGGGATTTTTCACAGTGTGTTTGAAAGTGAAAGGCAGGAAAGTGGAGTCAGAGCAGCAGAAATGGCACTCAGCAGAGAGGCAATCTTATCTAAGAGCTGCAGGCATCTTTTTCCTTCACTCTCTTTCTCCCTTCGGCGCTGTGCTTCTCTTACGACTTTCTCCATTTCTTCTTGTCGTTTTCCAAAATCTCACCTATTTTTTTTTGTCTGGTATTTTCATTCGAGGCTCTCACTTGATCATTCCCAAATATTTATTAATAGAAAAGAGAGAAAAGAATCAGTTATTGTTTCATTCTTTATTAGCATGTCAATAATCTGCGAGCTCCAGTTGTTAAAGGGCATAGTGAGAAAAGATGCCCTAAAGTAGCCGAGTTAATTAATGGTTTCCTTGGCAACACCAGTACTTAATAAATTTAACTTAAGTTACCTTGTCTGTGCATGTGTGAGCAGGCTAATAGTACGGGTGTACAATTTGCACTTAATTTCTGCTGGAATTACACGATTTTCTTTATGTGTTCAAGGGAAATTTAACAAACTGAGAGCCATCAGCTGTGACTGTTCTGGACCATAATGCATTGCTCTCGGGCAAATAAATAGACCATTAAGCTGGCATGTTGGAGGCTGAACAGTAACTAGCTTTAGAGAACTGCCTCCCACACACAGGCACCCTGTAGAGATGGCTGAGATCATAGCATTGTAGAGCCACAGCCGTGGATTTGGCCTCCTCCATCATGCATTTGAACAAAAATCAACTGGCAGGATCGAAGCGTCTTTTGTCCGTTTGACACGTCAAAGGCAAATTCAAAGATTTCCTGTGTTGTTGCGAAGGAGCCGAGGGTTGTTAAGTTATCTGTGAATTTGTCTTGCGGCTGTTTCTTTCCCCGTTTCAGAGGTGTTTCTGTCTCGGAGGTTGCTTTGAACGTGTGCGATAGTATTGCGGTTGACTCTGTAATCTATCTGAACACGCTGTGGAGCAGTGCACCCCGTGGCTTGGCATTAGCATACCGTAGTGCTACTTTGCTCGTGTTATACAAGGAAAAGAAAGCACTTGTAGATGGATAGGGAGAGGGAGAGGAGCCACCCAAGACACGAGGAGCTGAAACCACAACCTTCACAAGGATAACATCCTCTCTGTTTTCCTACAAAGTCTTAGCTAGTTCTAGTTATTATTTACGATGGGTAAATTTATGGAATAATTTCAGCTAGGGAAGGTTACTCAGTTCCTCAAGGTGAAAATGGATACGTTTAGCACTTAATGAATCGGGCCTGGGCCTCTGCCCCATATATCAGCATGTTATTAAGACATTTTAAAATCCCATTATGGTGTTTCTCCTTGAACATGTCATGCTTTTATTGGACTGCCCTGTCTTTAAATCTGACCTTTTCAGCCCTGTTCTGGAATTGAACGGGGGGGAAAAAGATACATGACAGGACGATGGTTCAAAATATACATATCTGGCTATAAAAATATCAGCGCATGGCGGTTTCTTAGTCATTTGACTGCAACACCAAGAATGACAAGTGGTCTTAAAAAGCAGCTACAAATGGTTCAAGAGGTTGCTTTTATATTCCAGTAATCTTGTTACATGTTTGGGCTATTTGTGGTCTCATTTTTTTAATCCAGTCTTTTTGTTCTCACAGTTGTTGCCTCAGTCAAAGTAGGGTGTGATGCTGGCATTTTGACATATGCAGATAAATCATCTTATGAGCTTTACGCTCTGCTGCCGTACATATACATATCATATGCACAGGTGGGTGTATAACCAGCATGTAAGACTCATATATTCAATTTAAAAACAGCTGCTGCTGTAACGAACATTTTGGGAATCATAGTTACATCTTTCACCCTTCTTCCAAACAAATCTGCCAAAGTCGGGCAAAACTGTTCAGCTTGAACAACAATAATGAAAAAAGAAGGAGGTAAGATTGGGGAAGGAGGAGAGCGTGACACAAAGGCTGTGATGACAGAGGCATCTAATCCAGGCAATGCCATTCTTATCAGGGTCCAGTGGATTAGAGTGAGCCTTCTAACCAGAGAATCCTTCCCAGCCAGACACTCTCCACAGCCCAAGGGCCTGGATCAATAGGCCTGCATTGATCTCTCCTCCTGTGGCTGGATTCACTTTTATTAGGACTGCCTTGGTCTCTCTCACTTAGACACACATATGCAGCCCTTCAACTTCTCCATGCAGCCGCCATGAAAAATCCCAAATAGGATTGGGTGTGTGTGTGTGTGTGTGTGTGTGTAAATGGGAGCTTAGATTGTTTTGTTTTCACTAAGTAGCCAGCTCCAGAAACACTACAGTATCAAGTTGACTCAGCTGTATGATGGTGTTTAGGTTGCCTCCGCAGCCACGGCACTTTGACCAGTATTGCAGAGTAGCTATTCATATGGGAGCGTGACATCCCTGGTTTGTGGCCTTCTGTTGTAGCAACGCCGGCCCAAGTCGCCACCTCTAACCTCGCTGACACTCTTTCTTTTCTCTCTTCCAGATGACTCGCCCCATCCAGGTGAAACCAGCTGACAGCGAGAGCCGTGGAGGTAGTTGTCTTCTTTTCTTCATCATTTATTCACATCCTTTTTTTTCATCTGCCTTATCTAGGCTAATTCTCTTCATTTCTTCCCCTCTGATCTCATCTGTTCCACTGCTCCAAATGCAATAATAATAACACTCTTCTTTTGTCCTATCCCACTTCCCTTTCCTTCTTGTTGTTGCACTTCTATTCAGTATGGGAGCAATTTGAACAAAACGTAACCAAATTATGTGAGAGTAGATTTAAAAGACTGGGTGACATCAAACAGGAAGTTTGATGTAATCTTGACTTGACTACGTGTCACTAGGTTTGCAGCAATTTGTAATTTTTTGTTGTTTTTTACTGATAATAATTCAAATACTGGATTTATGGATTAATCTCTCATGCATATGCTTTTTTTGATTAAAGAATGTTTCACTGATGTGGTGAGCTCTGCCCATCTCTCTTTCCCTGTTTCCTGTTCTGAACACATTATTATTACACTGTAATTTAGATAGTTATTAGAATCAGTACTGGAACCGTAGCTATTGCAAAGATCCAGTTAAAACCCACACTGCTTGATCTTGTGCATTTGAATCACAAGACTAAATAGTATAGACAGGAAAAATGGAGCAGAAGCTTGTTCAGCTTGCCAAACAATCAATAAATGTGCAGGGATCTTGCCAAGATCCTCATTATTTGGCCTTAATTCTGTCCTCTTTGATCTCTCCCATATTTGGAGGCTTTTATGTACTCACTGTCTCTCTGCATATATGTTAATGGGATGCAGAGGCATCCTTCAAGTCAGTGGCAGAAACAACAAAACCTCACTGTTATTATTTGGTGTGCATCTCATCTCGTGTCACCACGTAACAAAGCAAGTTCCTTTTTGTTATTTAAAGGAGGGATGCTGTTCAGTATTTGTCATCCTGGTGCAAAGAGAGAGGTTTGGATGGTTAAAACAGAGGCAGAGAAAATGCAAAAATGATGCCAAATGTGTGCAGCTGCTGTGCAGCACTTCTGAGGCTTTACCTAAAAACCCCTGCCTGTTTTGGGTGAATTAGGATTGCTGGCCACTTGGCTGCCTGTCACATGCACAATCTTCAAAGGACAGCATAACCCCTTGAGATGAATGGAGGAAAGGCCAATAAAGATCACTGTCAGTCCCCCATGCTTTCATTCGTTCGTTCTTTCTTTCTGTCTGTCTTTCGTTCTTTCTTTCTTTCTATGCCATCCTCCCTCTTTCTCTAAAACATTTACAGGAGTGGTGAGACAAGCACAAGGGTCTTGTGCTGTCAAGATTGATGTCCCCTATAGCTCCATTGATTTTGCCATTGTGGTGCTGTGTGTCCACATTAACAATGACACTCAGCTGTCTCTTTACTTGGTTGTGAGTAGCTGGGTTTAGAGCTCCCAGGGCACTTTGGTCAGTATGGGGTCTTCTTAGTGGCTGGCCGTGGGGACCCCGCTGAGGAACAAATGAGTGCTGGAACAGACCTGAGAGTCGCACATCATCTTAAATGAACAGGTCAGAGTGCCACCACAGGGGCAATCAAACACAAGCGTGACTTTAACAGGTTAAGACAGAAGTGAAAGCAGGGAGACGTAGTTTGTGGGGAGGGGAACGATCTGACTGTCATTTTAAAATCTGCTCTTCTTCTTCTAGTATGCTGTCCTGAATTCTTTCCTTTGTAATTATTGGCAAAGATCATTTATGTTAGCTAATAGCCTGTGTTATGCCCTACTTTCACAAGCTTTAGCATCTTATTCGCTGTAATTCTGATTTTCTCAGTAATCACTGCTAAATTTAACTACCTTCAGTATTATTATTATTTGTTTTTTGTGCTTATCTGCCTGCCTTCACCGTCCAGATCAGTAACTTCTAGAGTATAAATCAACCCAGTGTACTGCAGAGCGGATGCAAAAATATTAATTAGGCTCTTAGTGCAGTGGAGGGAGGGACACGAGGGACAGACTCAGCGTGGCCTGCTCTCTCAGGGGCCACGCCGCTAGTCCGATAGGGGGCATATATTCCTCAGTGCACACAGTCACACTAAAACACACAGTCATCCTAATTAGTCCCTTAATCTCATTATGAGGAGGACAGTTCAGATCACCTGCACTAGGTTTCCATCCATGAGGGAAAGACCTGTTACTGTGGTTTTATGCCTGCTGGACCTCCGCTTCAGTGGGAGCAACTCTCTGCTGTTATTAAGCCCAGACAGGCCCAGGTGAGCACAGCGCACTATCCCTGATTATTATTGCAGTAAAAACTGAAATGACCTCACACAGGAATAAGGTAGAACATATTCTCCTTATTCCACTAAATATTTGATGACTCTTGGATACCTGAGCAAAACTGAGCATTTCCCTTTTTACCTTTTTATGGAGCGTTCACTTTTGTTTGATATTTACAGCAAATTTATGAGAATTGGAGAAGACTCGGCCAATAGGTAGCTTGACAGAATCCATATCAGGAAACTGCACTGCACTATAGAACTAAAGGAAATATATATGGTAGAGTAAATCCATCCAAACACTGTCAGCCCCTGCTGCCGCCTAACAAAGACACACTGTGAAATGAATATTAATGGCCAATCACCTACCTAATCTAGCAGAACAGCAGCCGTTACACATTGAGCCACCAGCGCTGTGAACGTCTCCGTCACCGATGACGCAGATCGTTCTGGGATGTTTCTGTTGGGGAGACGTTTAAAGAGGCACAGCAAGGAGGCAGCAGGGACCTGTCTCTCTCATTTTCTCCTCGCAGGTCTCTGATATGAAATAGATTGATTTTCCATCACACATGGCACTGATGACTGGCACTGTCTGCTGCTGATATTTCATTTTTGAAAGGCTGTTCAGTCCCTCCTTAGAGAGTTTGGCGTTCTTAGGCAAGATAAATCAGCTTTAACCACTTTGATTTCATCCTAAACCTTTTACCAGCAGCTCGTCTTTTAGCGTTCCATCATTACCGCCTGCCCCTTAGTGTTTCCTTCCTTTGTAGACTGTCATTTCATTTGATTTTGTCTTTTGTATCAGGCTTTTTTTAAAGATCCATTCTGCTCACGGGCTAAATGATATTTCTGTGCAAGTGCTGCATTTTTGTATTCCTCTGTGGCTCTTTGTATTTTCCAGCTTAACCTACTCTTAAAGTTTTAAGCTCAAATATTGTCCAGAAAGCAGAAAGAGGAGCAGGCGAGCTGTCAGCTGGGGCTCTGTTGGTGTTGCAGCAGGCCTGCCTGGCACAGCTAGAGCTACAGCCCACTGAGGAGGCCTGGATTAGAAACAGGCTCTGGCATTTTCAAGGCAGGCCTGCCGCCCACACGCACACCCACACAGAGAGGACAAACAGGCGAATTCATACATACCCATGCAGCTCTAACGCACATACACACTTTCTCTCTCACGCGACCACACACTCAGTGGGAAGTCGGATTTGGATGATAATAGGAACACATACGCACACAAAGAGACATGCCCACTATAGGTTACATATTTACACGTAGACTCATACGGTGTGCACATATGCTGAGTGGCACGGGTCTGTTTTCCTTTCATGAGCTGTGTTTTATATTGTGGGCCCAGCAGCAGCATTGCATTTCGTTTTTATGTTTACTCAAACTGAAGGACAATGAAAAGGTTTGCTGCAGGTCACTGAGATGTGACGGAACAAGAAGAGAGAGGAGGATAGAACCAGAACAAGAGGAAATAAGTAAAATGGAAAGTGAAGATAAGGGAGTGCGGAGAAAGATTAGAAGTCTAGATTGAGACTGCAGGGTACATGCAACGTTGCTGTTCTGTGCTCAGGTTTTTTTTATGTGGTATAAAAAACAACACAGTGGTCTGTGCTCTTCTTCTTCTCCCTTTTTACTAGAGAGACAAGTTCTCTGTGTCAGAGGAGCTTAGTAATGAACCAACAGGAAGGCCTCTAAGCTCTACTGATCCCCTTTAGAAAAGCGAGGAGGAATGAAGGAGAAAGAGGTAGTTAGAGCAAGAGCAATCGGTTGGAAAAAAAAAAAAGAAACCGCAAAAATAGAGAGGTGGACAATAGGAATTTGTTCTGAGATATAGAAAGTGGGAGAGACACACAAACACATACGCACGCACACAGACCGAGTGCAAAATAGAGAAAAGTATGGCTAAACCAGTGAGATGGAGGGAGGAACGATAGGGGCAAAGCAAAAAAGCTGAACAGTATATCTTCTCCCTTTGGAGAGACGAAAACTATAGATTACTGGTCACAATGTGCTTGGCTGGGCATAAATGGAGAGATCTTGAAATACTAGGGAGTATGTTCAGAGGTTGTGGGGATCAGGGTGAGCTAATCCAATAGTAAAGCCAGCTCTGGGTCACACATTCAGAGCTCAAACTCCTTGTCCAAATCCCCTCTGGTGCTCTTACACAAACAATACTGATACACAGGCCTTTGCTCACCAAGAGTTCAGTCAGCTAACTCCACCGAGTCTGCCTGGGATGTTCAGGTCACTCTGCCCGTAAGCTCTTACATTTACCCTCACATCAGCACGAACTGGGCTGTTTTGAAGGGGAGGGGTGGGGTGAATTGGGTTTACGAATGACAGACAAGGAGAGAGAAGGCAGGAGAGCAACACAGAGAGAGAGAGAGATGATGAAATAATTTCTATAGGGATGTGCTTTGCTCCTGTGGGTCAGATTGTGCTGAGGCTGTAGGAGTTATGCAGAGTCAGTGGAAGGAGTAGCACAACAATTCACTAATACACTGGGTAGGTGGAGATCAATTAGCCTTATCTTACAAACTACTAATGATAATACCAATGCAAAACTTGCTGACAAGGCAAAGAACAACAAGAGCTCAGAGTGATGATGTAATGAATTTAGCCAGTTGAAAGATACAGTATTTCTGCAAACACACTAGCTTGTGCTCTTTTTTTTTTCCGAGGCAAACACACTATAGTGGCAGCTTCTGTGATACTCGGTCAGCATACGCAGAAGCAGCATCAGCGTACAGACAGTGGACAAAATACCAGGAAGACTTTTGCAGTATAA